AGTGTGTTATTTCTGGTGAGAGATGCAAACACAAGCCTGAGGATTGCAGGTCTGACAGACAAAACCACAGGAAAGACTGCTGTGATGTTACCTCTCACACCACACGCTCTGTGATAAGAAGAAAAAGAAGAAAAAATTTCTGTAACATGGGGTTGAAAAGTCCCTTCATGGGGGTTTCACTGCTGTGTTTTAGAAGGGGCCTGTCAGCACACCGCGCAAGCAATAAACACGTTGCGTGATCTCAGTGTAAGGTCTATGCTACGTGACTATTTTCAGTCTATCTTCGTAAACTCTCAACATCACATCTTGTTTTTTGTTTGTTGACATCTAACATACTGCATCTAACATACATGTTAAATACAAGCTAAAAACTTCTGTTAGCGCATTAAACATTAAATGATATCTATAACACAAAATCTTCCACAGTTTTTTTGATGTACCTGGGCTAATTTCAAAGAGTAAAACCACACTCTAAAAAACATCCTGTTAAATCAACTGTTAAAGCTGGCAGCTGTGTTCGCCAGAAATTCAACATTAAAAATACGGAGACAACGTTTCAGTGGCATATTGGTGGCTGTATATTTTAGAACTTAAAACTATACATTTCATTAAGTGATATAAATTTTAAAATAATCTATCTGAACTGCTAAAATCTGCTTTTTACTGTAAAATCTCTTAATAACCACTATAATAATAGGTGGTAAAACAGAAAACCACATGATGAATCAGAGTTCACTGAAAGTGGCCCCTCCATAAAAATGGCAATACCCTTATATAGCTGGCGCACAAAGACAAAACACCATCAGGGTAACACACAACACTACAAAATGCAATAAACGTTAACTAAATAACATAAAATGTGACACAAGACATCATTAAAAAGAAAAATGACAACAAAAAAAATTATTAAAAAAAAAAATGATATACGATTAGTCAGGCAGGACCTCTTGGAATGCCCTGTTAATGTTTTTTTGTTTTTTTACCATAAATTATATGGTAAATTATTATTTTTACTTTCAAAAAGCATGTATTTTACAGCAAAATTAAAAATTACAGCTAACAAGTTTTTGTTGTAGTATTTTAGTCTTTTTCTGTAAAAATGACAAACTTTTTTAAAAATGAACAAACCTGAGCAAAATTATGTTACCTAATGTTACCTATTGAATAAAAATTGATTTATTCAATTTATCGCAACAATTTACACATTCTGCTTTTGTTTTATAACTTAAGGCCCAAATGTTTATGTACGGATGATGATTCATTTCGAATCTAGTTCAAAATGCTATTTTAGTTTGTTCAAATCTATTCAGGTGAGCATCGACTTCATCTGGATGCTTGCGACTGAAATTTCCCCCTACGTTTTTCTACTTTTCTTTTTTCCGTTAGCAAAATGTGACCCCACTGAAAGCCGCAAAACGTCAGGGCATTCTGAGACAGGTGCCATGTCTCTGCGTTGTGGTATGACTGGGCTGCCCACATATTGATTTACCCAACCCGAATTACCTTTCTGGCATCCCAGGGGACGACCAAAAATCCCTGCGCAAATTTGCTCAGCCACTCCGCATGCAGAGGAAGAGTCAGTAACTTGAGAGCGAGCGGGTCCAAATGGATGCCTGTGAAGGTGACGATAGCGAATAATATCTCCACGGAGATGATCGTCTTTGACAGTGTAATATTACTGGACGATAAATATACAGCGCTGAGGAGGCGAAAAAAAGAGAGGGGAAAGCTGTCGCCAGCCGAGTACGAAAGCATAAATAAGGTCTTTTACCTTCGTCAGTTATCCGTCTTTTGACATGCAAGCTGAGCACACTGTAATTAACACGGAAAGAGATCATGGGGTCTCTACCCGCTGATCAATCTGCCACATAGATAATCCATCTCTTTTACAATGCCACGTTAACATTTTTTTTACAGATATTAGCCTTTTTTAATAGCTACTGTAGCTTGATACGGCTTATGGGTTTATTGACATGCCTGTTTACATCATATTCACAAAAGAGCCACTCTTTTCTGAATACAGCACATAAATACATACATCAATGCAGAATTGTGCGACCCGCAAGACTGTATTGACTGACAGTTGGGTCTGTTAGATAATGGACTCAAAACACAGAGACGTGAATTGTGTTTACAAGAGTAGAAACTAAAGAGCCACAAGACAGAAATGCTACAACTCTATTCAAGAAGCATAAGCTGTAGTGTTTTGTGTTTGTGTGTGCGTGTGTGGGTGGGTGTACATTTGTGTGTATTTCTGTAACCCAACAGGGAGACAAACAGGCCTGCTGTTTGTTTGTATTTCTCAGCTCTGCACATGTTTGTCAGGTCTAGATCCACTTTCACAGATTTACTGTTCTTGTCCCCTCTGGCCTAGTGTACACTAGTGTTCTCAGAGACTGCTTTAATGGACAGATTCCTATTCTTGCTCTCCAGGGGACAGGCATGAACACATCAGCTACATGAAGCTCTAGTGGAGCTGTAGCCTAGCAGTTAGCACACATGCTCTCACACATTGGGGCAATGAACGTTTGAGCCTTGCTGGTATAATTTTGCAAGCTATTGCCCCTCTTCTTTGGGGAACTTCCTAGTGTACCATTCAAAATAAAATGTCAAAAATAAATATTTAATGATGACGGATTAAAATGTCATTATATAAAATTATATTTTAATTACATAAAGCATTTATATTTTATTAAACAGTATTACACTACCTTTCAAAAGTTTGGGTAGGATTTTTTAAAATGTTTTTGAAAGAAGTCTCTTATGCTCAAAAAGGCTGTATTTTTTAAATCAAAAATAGTAATATTGTAAAATATTATGCTTTAAAATCAAATTTCTATTTTAATATATTTTAAAATATAATTTACTTCTGTTATGGCAAAGCTAAATTTTCAGCAGCCGTCACTCCAGTCTTCAGTGTCAGATGACCCTTCAGAAATCATTCTAATATGCTGATTTGGTAGTCAGGAATCATTTCCTATTATTATCAATGTTTTTTTTTTTTTTAATTCAAAGGGCCTCCTAATATTTTTTATTTTTTCAAAAGAACAACCCTTCAAAAGAAAGCTTTGAAATATTATTTGAAATAGATTTTTGTATTATAACAACAAAAGTCTTTACTGCCAATTTTAATCAATTGAATGCATCCTTGCTGAATAAAAGTATTAATTTATATATTTGATATAATAAAACAGATAATTATAAATGTATAGGCAAAAAATCATATTTTACAGTATGACCAATACAGTGTGGACCAATTCACAAACAAATAATTCCTAAGGGCCGATTCTTTTAATTAATCATTCAAAAATGCTCACAAAAAGGACAAATTCTTAACTTAATTAACTCACTAAAAAAGTCAGAGTGCCTCTGAAAATCTGACTCACTTACTGAACTTGATTAAACTTAAACCATACTGACCGGTTACAATGTATAGTTAAGATACAGACTAGTATGCAAGGATACACATTTGCAACAAAGTTATTTTTTGTGATATATATACACACACATACATACATACATACATACGTTACAGTTCAAAGGTTCAAGGTCAGTAATATTTTTTAAAGAATCCGATGCTTTTATTCAGCAATTCTTTTAACAAATGGTGCTAAAGACATTTATAATGTTACAAAAGATTTCTATTTCAAATAAATGATGTTCTTTTAAACTTTCTATACATCAAAAAATCCTAAAACAAATACTAAAAAATGTTAAAACATAAAAAAAAATAATATAACAATAATAATAATAATTTTTGTTCAATTGCAATAATAATTGTTTTTGACTTTTAGGTCAAATAAATTCCACCGTCTTGCATAAAAGACTTCTTTTAAAAAAAATCTTACTGACCATAAACTATCAAAGTTTTCAACTTTTGTGAATATGAAAGGATGGAAAAACACTATTCTGTACGCTCTAAAAAATGCTGGGTTAAATACAACCCAGTGCTGGGTAAAATAGGGACAAACCAAGCAACTGGGCTGTTTTGACCCAGCGGTTGGGTAAGGTTAAATGTTTAACCCAACCTTCTGGGTAGTAACCCAACCGCTGAGTCAAAACAACCCAATTGCTGGGTTTGTCCCTATTTTACCCAGCACTGGGTTGTGTTTAACCAAGCATTTTTAAGAGTGTAGGAATTCTGCATCCAATTATATGCACAAAAATATGGCAAAAGCTGTTAAATCAAACACAGAACCTCAGCCACTACAAGCAAACAGAATGTAGTTTAACAAGGACAAATAATAGCACCTTGAATCAAAGCAGCATATCTCCATACTAAAGCTTTCATCATTACCCAAAGTCTGCCCTCTCAGCTCAAACTTCTCAGCAATCGTCATTAGCACAAGGCTAAACGGTCAGTGCGCCACTTCCCCTATTTAGACAAGCGATCCGTGAATAAAAAGTAGATCCAATGTCTCATTGCGTTTTTAGGCCTCATTAAAGCCATTAACCTTAAATTATTAGATGGAGGATGTTAATGTCAAAGTCACTTGGTCTCTGATTTGTTTTTTTCATGAATAGATTTCACAGTGCTTCTCTTGAAAAAAAAAAAAAACAGTTACACTTGCTATTCTCATTTTCTAAGAAAAACACTGATATCTCTGATGTAAAATAACAAAGAAGTTTAAATTGTTGCTCTAAACACAGATATGACAAGGAGGTTTTAGGGAAAAAAGGGTATTTCTGATTTACATCGGCCTGTTGATCATTTTTATGGTTTGTAAATTACAAACACCTCAAATGACTATGGGCGGCACATGTTAATCGCTGATTCAGTGCTATTCAGCAGTGGTATGATGATTGATTCTACTTGTGGGACTATGTTTGGTTCACTGCGGTGACGAGAAAGGTAAAGAGCCCCAAAAAACCCAACACATGACCTTTCTACATATCTGAGACAATTATACACCCCCCACAATCACACACCCTCGACTGTCCTTCCCCTCTGTTCTCTTTCTCAGTGACCTGCGCTAACCTGCTCTCATTTCTCTGCCCAGGCAGGAAACACGTTGAGAGTGTGCTAATGCGCCCAGCCCAAAATCCAGACCAGCTTCACAATACAGGCCACTACCCCGAGCTCCAGCATGCCCCCTATCAGCCCGAAGCAGGGGGGGGCACATCCTGTGTGAAACCGCATCCTTAACTTGCATCATCACACTGTAAATAAATACTTTCCCTTTTATTTGCTCTTTTTCTCTCGTTCTCCACTTCCGTCAACTGTCACAGCCTGTGCCTCCAATCACAAGTCCAAACAGGAAAGTGAAAAGAGAGGGGAGAGATAGGAGATATGAGATGAATTTGCTGCTCGCTGCAAGTTGCTCTGCTGTTTCCTACACACACACACACACACACACACACACACACACAGACACACACACACACACACTGGGCCAGCTGCCTGGGACTCCATCCCTGGGACTCACCGTTACGACATCAGCCCACCGTCGGCCAGCCACCCAGCTAAACAGGAAGTTACGAAGCTAGGTGTAACAAAGCGTTTGTGAAAGCGGAAAAGGGACAGTGAATAAGACTGCAGTGAACAAACTCCACGAAAGTACATCTGTATTGCGTTATAATACAGACCTAACCTAACACACCCACGGAAAGGAAAGTCACAAATGAGATCTCTCGAAAAACTGAACCAATTTATTTATTGTGAAGACTATATAATAATCTAAAGAATATTTGTCCACCATAAATAAATAAACAAACAAACAAACAAACAAATAAAACCGTTTGTGCAATGGAAATGTTCCATGGATTCATCATGGAATCACAGATGCCAATAAAAAAAGCTTTATTTTTTTTTTAAAGTTTGACTGTCTTAAACTGTGCTCTGATTTTCCAGTATACCAGAGTCTGCGATCAAAAGTCAGAAATTTAAATTTGAACATCAAATTGAAAATTGAGCTATGCCATCTACCTTAACAACCATCTCTTTTGTTTTTATTTTCATTTCATCCTAAATAACTAAATAAAGTTGTTGAATTGCTGAATGAAATGGAGCCTCTTTGTCATATGACAACTATTAGCTAATTTGTCTATTTTATTATTTTATTTTCCTAAATAAAGTAGGAAAATTGTTGAATTGCTGAATGAAATGGAGCCTCTTTGTCATATGACAACTATTAAACTATTAGTCTATTTTATTTTAAGAAGAAACATCTGAGACAAAGTTGTTGCTTAAATGTCATATGAACCATGTTTTTTACTTAAGTCTAGTGAGATATTCAAGACCACATTCTGTAGTCCAATTAAATTTTTCATTGTTGCAATCAAAATCATTGATAATCTAGAATAGAAAACAATAGAAAATGCATTACTAATTAAATGTTTCAGCACTGACCTTTTCTAAAAGATGACATGTTTAAAAATTAATATAAGCAGATTTGTTTATCAATCATCTGAGGTCTTACTAAAGAAAAGTGAAATTAAATGAGAAACTGAAATATGATAGGTTGGGAAACAAACTTGCGGCAACAACAAGGGCGCACAAAGGCATTCCTAAAACAGCTCTGAGAAAGGTGGACATATTCAGCACTGAGACCCCCTGCATTAGCCTGTGGTGTGTGTTACACAGAGGCAATTAAGACAGGATACTGATCTAATGAACTTCTAAGTGTGTGTGCTGTGTTAAGTTGTGAAGTGGGCCTTATGTTGAGCCACTGCTAAACGAGTGTTGAGTTTCAGTCGCCTGGTCAGAGGGCTGCAGGCCCAATCTAAATGTGTGCTTGTACGTCCAGCTCTGTGGATGCCAGTCAATGAGCAGATGCTTGGAAGAAGAAAAACATCACACAGTACTTGCATTTCCATGCCTGTCGGGGTGGTCTTGAACAGTGTGTGAGTCTGCTAGGCTGTTGTTAATTGCAAAGCCACAAATAAGCAAGTGGTCAAAACATGATTCAATCTGCTCAATTCACAAAACAGCATTGTTCTGCCCAACTGACTGATGGGCAACGGTATAATTACAATAATTTGCTTCATATATCGGTCAAACCAATCCCAGAGGATAATTTTATTGCTTAAGGGTTGATCTTTTTTAGCTCAGGAGACTTATTGGAGCTATGCCACAATCAAAGTTCGCCTTCAAAAATTCAGATGTTGCCCCTAGAATGAAAACAGACACAATTTGTCATCATACAATAAGTGTGGAAAGCTAAAATATTAATGTTGATAGAATAGAGCAGATATTTGTTTTTGGGAGGATTTTATGAGAATTTTTGAGTTCATATTGAAATCTCTGACCATTGATCGCAAACAAACATGTTAATATACCTGGGCAAAGTTTGAGACGTTGTTGAAATCTATTTTGAAACTCTAGAGCAGTGGTTTCTCAAATGGGGGACAGGGCATTAAATTCGAAAAACCTAAATACTTAAAAATTAAAACATTAAACAAACAAAAAAAATTAAACTTAAAATTATGTTAAATTTTTCCCTCTCAATAAATATAATTTTTATTGGAAAAACTTACAGCATCAGAATTTTGATTCTTATAGAAATCAGAAAATAAATTGTTTAATTATATCAACAATACCATTTTATGTTAATAAAAAAGTTTGAAAACAAGCAGAATTGTCATAACTGCAGAATGAAATACGAGAAGAAATATATTGCCCAAAACAGGGATGCCTAAAAATATTGCATCAAAAAGGTTGAGAACCAATGCTCTAGATGAAATACTGTACATGTGAGACTTCTCGGGTGTTTATTCAGAGAAAAGCCTGACAATCAGGAGTCAAAAGTCCCTTTCCATTGTGAATGACAAATAAAGAGATGTTATAGAGATCTCATTTGCGATTTCTTCTTCCTATATGTTGAAATTTGCTTATGATAAGCATCAAGGTCCAATTTAATACTTCTCTCTATCACTTTACAATCAGCTGAACAAGGAATCATCGTCAGCAAAGTGAGATGTTAATCTCCCACACACACACACACACACACACACACACACACAGACACACACACACACACACTGGGCCAGCTGCCTGGGACTCCATCCCTGGGACTCACCGTTACGACATCAGCCCACCGTCGGCCAGCCACCCAGCTAAACAGGAAGTTACGAAGCTAGGTGTAACAAAGCGTTTGTGAAAGCGGAAAAGGGACAGTGAATAAGACTGCAGTGAACAAACTCCACGAAAGTACATCTGTATTGCGTTATAATACAGACCTAACCTAACACACCCACGGAAAGGAAAGTCACAAATGAGATCTCTCGAAAAACTGAACCAATTTATTTATTGTGAAGACTATATAATAATCTAAAGAATATTTGTCCACCATAAATAAATAAACAAACAAACAAACAAACAAATAAAACCGTTTGTGCAATGGAAATGTTCCATGGATTCATCATGGAATCACAGATGCCAATAAAAAAAGCTTTATTTTTTTTTTAAAGTTTGACTGTCTTAAACTGTGCTCTGATTTTCCAGTATACCAGAGTCTGCGATCAAAAGTCAGAAATTTAAATTTGAACATCAAATTGAAAATTGAGCTATGCCATCTACCTTAACAACCATCTCTTTTGTTTTTATTTTCATTTCATCCTAAATAAAGTAGGAAAATTGTTGAATTGCTGAATGAAATGGAGCCTCTTTGTCATATGACAACTATTAGCTAATTTGTCTATTTTATTTTAAGAAGAAACATCTGAGACAAAGTTGTTGCTTAAATGTCATATGAACCATGTTTTTTACTTAAGTCTAGTGAGATATTCAAGACCACATTCTGTAGTCCAATTAAATTTTTCATTGTTGCAATCAAAATCATTGATAATCTAGAATAGAAAACAATAGAAAATGCATTACTAATTAAATGTTTCAGCACTGACCTTTTCTAAAAGATGACATGTTTAAAAATTAATATAAGCAGATTTGTTTATCAATCATCTGAGGTCTTACTAAAGAAAAGTGAAATTAAATGAGAAACTGAAATATGATAGGTTGGGAAACAAACTTGCGGCAACAACAAGGGCGCACAAAGGCATTCCTAAAACAGCTCTGAGAAAGGTGGACATATTCAGCACTGAGACCCCCTGCATTAGCCTGTGGTGTGTGTTACACAGAGGCAATTAAGACAGGATACTGATCTAATGAACTTCTAAGTGTGTGTGCTGTGTTAAGTTGTGAAGTGGGCCTTATGTTGAGCCACTGCTAAACGAGTGTTGAGTTTCAGTCGCCTGGTCAGAGGGCTGCAGGCCCAATCTAAATGTGTGCTTGTACGTCCAGCTCTGTGGATGCCAGTCAATGAGCAGATGCTTGGAAGAAGAAAAACATCACACAGTACTTGCATTTCCATGCCTGTCGGGGTGGTCTTGAACAGTGTGTGAGTCTGCTAGGCTGTTGTTAATTGCAAAGCCACAAATAAGCAAGTGGTCAAAACATGATTCAATCTGCTCAATTCACAAAACAGCATTGTTCTGCCCAACTGACTGATGGGCAACGGTATAATTACAATAATTTGCTTCATATATCGGTCAAACCAATCCCAGAGGATAATTTTATTGCTTAAGGGTTGATCTTTTTTAGCTCAGGAGACTTATTGGAGCTATGCCACAATCAAAGTTCGCCTTCAAAAATTCAGATGTTGCCCCTAGAATGAAAACAGACACAATTTGTCATCATACAATAAGTGTGGAAAGCTAAAATATTAATGTTGATAGAATAGAGCAGATATTTGTTTTTGGGAGGATTTTATGAGAATTTTTGAGTTCATATTGAAATCTCTGACCATTGATCGCAAACAAACATGTTAATATACCTGGGCAAAGTTTGAGACGTTGTTGAAATCTATTTTGAAACTCTAGAGCAGTGGTTTCTCAAATGGGGGACAGGGCATTAAATTCGAAAAACCTAAATACTTAAAAATTAAAACATTAAACAAACAAAAAAAATTAAACTTAAAATTATGTTAAATTTTTCCCTCTCAATAAATATAATTTTTATTGGAAAAACTTACAGCATCAGAATTTTGATTCTTATAGAAATCAGAAAATAAATTGTTTAATTATATCAACAATACCATTTTATGTTAATAAAAAAGTTTGAAAACAAGCAGAATTGTCATAACTGCAGAATGAAATACGAGAAGA